CTTTGTGGCCTCTGGCAATGCCTCTCCAGACAGCTGTCACCTAGATGGCTTATGAGGGCCTCTGGGGCCATGGACCTGAGTCTTGCAGGTCATCCTGAGAACAGAAGCATCCAGCAGTGCAAACTCAGAGGACTGGCTCAGGCAGTCCTTACTCTCCAAACAAAGGCCACCCAACACCTTAAACACAAAATATTCTTTTATTTGTCAACGAAGGCTACACGGGATCACTTCTGGTTTTGTTTTTATGCGTTTTTTTTTTTTCTAGAAGGTATCTACATCTGCATTTATTTACAGCCTTGTCGGTATTTACACAGTCAAGAATACAGTGTTAGAAACACAAAAGTGTTGAGAAAAAAACTTCTCAAAATTAGTTCCAGACTTCAGGAAAACTATTTCCACATGGTAAGGCCAGAGTCTCCAGTGTTGGTCGTCCAAAGGCAGCTTGGGAGAGTCCTTTTGCCAAAGCTGCGGGTTCAGAAGTGTTCAAGAACAGGCAGGTTTAGGAAAGCGGGACTCTGGTGTTGGGTGAATCGGGGGCTGCCGGGCACCACCACACATCTGTGACTCAGCTTCTGCTGGGACAGCTGAGCCTGCCTGAGGCTTGGTTCTCCATTGGCAATTTGCCCTCAGAATCAATCACATGTTCTTGGGGACCAAGAAGTCACCCAGTGTCATGCCTTTGGCATTCCAGAGGGGGTGAGAAACCCAACATGAGCCCCACCCAGGCCTCCTCCCCACTCTGGTCTTCCACATTCATGATGAAACCGAAGAGCTCGCCACTGTCTGGGGCGGTCAAGTACACAGGGCTGGTTTTGGAGAATGTAAAGGTTAGAAAGGATAAAGTTTCTATCACCTGAGCAATGAGTCTTTAAAATGAGTTTGCTGTTTTTTTTGAAGGTTAAATGAAAGGGCCTTGAACGACAGAGTTCTTTTAATCCCCACCCTTCCAATAAAATGTAGACAAATGTATAAACCTAGCTGGGAATTATGAGCCTTAAACAGAAGGCTTTGAGTCCTAACAAGGATCCCAATAGAAAGAAGAGACTGGGTTCTTCCTGGGACCTCTCTGGAGGCGGGCCCCAGCTCAGGACCAGAAGCCAGAACCTGGGCTTAGTGGTTGCTATGAGGAATGGAGAAGAGATCTGACTTTGAGCACCAGGAGATCAAACCCCAAGGCCCGGGATCCTGCAGAGTCCTGGTGAGCTCCTTGCTCCTGGGCTCCAAGCTCAGCATCCCGGCCCTCACCACGTGGCCACCACGACCACGAGGCTGCAGATGTGAAGCTGCGTTCTAAGATTTCACCTCCAGAGCCCTGTCTTTGCATAATGGAAACTGCCACCTATAAAGGTGGTACTTAAAGGTCACAGCTGAAAAGGTCCTTTATACTGTTTTTTTTTTTTTTTTTTTTTAAGCGAATGTGCTTCCTTGTTATGTGTCTATAAAAACACTGCCCAGGGTTAATCCCCTTCCTTGCCTCGCCGTCCCCTTCTGCTTCTGCCCCACCCCATCCTGATTATTTAAACCATTCTCAACTTCTGGTCACTTTCCTAGGGATTGTTTCAAATTCTCCACCACTAGGTAGACCCCAGGCACTGGGCTGTTGCTTGGGTTAATTCTCAGCCAACAGTTCTGAGAGACAAGCATCAGGGGCTTACAAAGCTGTAAATTACCAGGGAGCTTCTTCCCCTCCTCATAGCTCTGCCCTCCAATGCTGTCTGTCTGGAGGGCAGGTAAAAAAAAAAGGCAATCTCATCCTATAAAAAACCAGGTTGGGGCATCATTAAAGTCCTGTTTAAAATGATGGCAGAGGGGCTGAGGGTCAGGGCCCGATGGGAGCTGTGGAAGACAGGGAAGAAGGCAGGAATTCTTCCAAAATAAACCCTTTTCTAGGGCACAGAAGCTGACCTCCTGCAGGATCACGACCCTGGGCCAGTGAGGGAAGGCTGGTTGCTCCAAGAAATGGACATGTTTGGGTTGCTTAGTGCCAAAGGGGCAGGTGCCGTCAAGGATGGGGTTTGATGCTTGGAGGCCACTCAGTGGGCACAGGGATCTCTCTGGCTTATGCCTTCAGACTCACTCTTGCTGTGAGATTGTGCCTGTTGGTCTCAGCAGCAGGACAGACTGAAAAGGGAGGCACTTCGTCACCTGCTGGCCTGAACAGAAGCCGACTCAGGAAGGCCAAGCCCAGAAGCGCCGTCTCCAGGAGCAGTAGTACCCATGTGAAATAATGCTGCCTAGCCCACACCTGACATCTTTTCTCTAAAGCTTGGGAATGCCTCAACTTCTCCCTGCACAGACGCTGGGTCTCCTCAGTGGTGTGTAGCCCAGGACAGGTAAAACGTTATTCGCTGAAACAAAAGGGACACACAGGAATTCTCTGTGATTCTGATCTTTAGAAGTCCATACTATCACGCTGGTGGGGGGTTGGTGGTGGAGGCTCAGAGGCCTGGGAAGGTGTAGGGAGATGATTCATTCCCTTGGCTCTCGTGTTACCTCTGACCTACAAGTAGATGTCCCCAGCAGGTCTTGACTAGTGTCAGGCAGCCAAGATAGAACTGATCAGCTAGGCTACTGGGCAGGAGCGCTTCACCCAAGGGCTCCTTATATCAAGAGTATGCTTTGAGAGGCAGAAGTCTATTTTGGATTAAAAAAAAAACACGTGTTCTTCAGGCCAAACTGCTGTCCCTCCCATCCAAGAACGATTATGCCTGATGGGAGCCCACCACCAGCTCCCAGGAACCACGCAGTGGGCCCGAGGAGCACCACATCTGACTCAGCAGTGCTCTGGACCCAGTGGACCAACAGGCCAAGGTGCACTGTCGCAGCCATGTGACTTCTTTCGGAAACAGGAAGAGCACTTAGCGAAACATATCCTCTAATCCCGGTGGAATGACGTAAGGCGAAACCTCTTCTCCCGAGAAGCTGTGGATGCCTCCCTCTGCCAGGCGGAAACCAGGCTACACGCTGCTCCAATTCTCACGCAGTAAAGACCTTCTTGGTTTCATTAACTCGTGTAATATTCTGAAGACTCTGTGAGTAAGGCTATAAAGGTGCCATGAGCTTATCAGTCCAACAAGGTCTCCACGGGGGGATAGCTCAGACTCAGAATTCATTTTCCACACTTAATGTAAATGTAACCCATAAAAGTCCCATTTTCTAAGAAGCCCAGCTCAAAAGGAAGCATTTCGCTTTCCCTCCTGGTCTCCCAGAACCTCTTGTGAGTGGTAATAATGATCGTAATTAGGCAGATGAACCAGGAGCGAGGAGCTCCTAACTCTTGCTGCTACTTTCCCCTCCCCTCAATGCTTCCCTGGCCCGTTGGCTGCAGCCTTTCCCTGGGCAGGCCCTCCAGGGGTGGGTTGTGCCCATTCCCCAGTGGGCGAATGCCTCTTCCCAATGACCTCAGGCCTAGGTCTCCACAGGGACAACTGTAGCCTGGCCTCCCTGCTCTGCAGGCATCGGCCTCAGGAACTGGTCCCAACCCGGGGGTAGCAGGGGGGCAGGGGCTGGATGACACGGCCAGGTCACACCCGATTAGCTCTGTCCTCCTTTCTCCTCAGTCTCTCTTTAAAACCCTGGACAGACTCCTCTGGAGGGGAAGCTGTTTTAGAAGAATTTCACAGAAGGAATTCCGGAACACCTAAGCTGCTGCACCCCCACTACGTTACTGGCCCGTGAGTGGGAGGCAGAGAAGCCTTCAGGAGCTGGTTAGAAGACGCTTGGCTTATGCCTTCCTCTCTTTGGCTGACTGTTTCTTAAGTCTCTTTCCAGAATCAAAGGCCACCAAGCACCTCTCTCCACATTCCTGTTTCTCAGTGGTGGAGCTGAGCAGTGGAGGGAAGACACCCCAAGCCATGGGGAGAAAGTTTCACCCAGGAAGGCAGGCTGGTATCTTTGCTACCACTGCCATCCTTTTGCCGAGGGTGGCCTGCCCCTCCCTGGACCTTGTGCCCACGTGGAGGGCTTGCCGGGCAGTGCTGGTTCTCACATCTGACTTTGGGAGAGAGGAAGAGATGAATAATAAGGAACATCATGGGAAGACCGACCAACCACAGACATCCTGGGTGCCTCTACCTCTTGGGGAGGATGAGGCTCTTAGCCCCAGGATGTTATGTCACCAGACTGGGGGAAGGGACCTGGGGAATGCTTTCTCCATCCCAGCATGGGGCTGGCACCAACAACTACACAGGATTTGCAAAAGGGGTTGGGGGTTCCATTTAGCATCAAAATATAAAGCTTGGACAGGAGTTGGGGACAGCTTGAAAAAGGTGCTGAATGATATCACAAAATTCCCCAGAGCAAGACGAAGACGTCCGTGGTCCTCCAGAGGCACAGAACACGGTGAGTAAAAAAGCCACCACTTGTCTGTGGGAGCTGAGCCAAAAATCCTCAGGTCCTGCAGACCCTCCTTCCAGGCCCCCCTCGGAAGTTTGGTACTAGCCCATGACTGCACCCCGCACTCCTGCCCGACCCCCACGGAAGAAAGGGTTGCACATGAGACAAATTAGCACAGACACTGTGTCTCACATCACACCGGGTACCTAGAGACAGACAAGGACACACCTCAGAAGATGTGTCTCAGAGAGGAGAAATGTACCCCAACAGCAGGGAAAAATCCTCAAGGAAAAAGGGAACAAGAGACAATAAGGTTTTCATTGTGATCACACTACAGAAAAAAAAATACCTTCTGTTCTTTGCAAAAAATGTGTGAAGGCCAAATCTGTGTTTTTCTTTTCTTAAAAAAAAGGATGTTGCATGAGTTACAATGCAACCAGTATTTTTGTTTGTTTGTTTGTTTTCTGCCCTTGTTAAAAAAAGGATTTTTCTTTTTTCTTTTCTTTTCTTTTCTTTCTTTTCCTTTCTTTTCTTTTCTTTTCTTTTCTTTCTTTTCTTTTTCTTTTTTCTTTCTTTTTTTTTTTTTTAAAGTACAACACAGTCAGGTGTGTGGCCACAAAAGAGTAGCTGTCTTTGGCAAGAAGTGCAGGCCGGAGTCCTCTCTGTCACCTCCGGCCCATCTCGCTCTGTCTCATGAAGTGGATGTTGTTAGCGCTGTCTGACAGTTCTGGGTACTGCTCCACGGAGATGACGAAGAAGCCATCATAGCCTTGAACCCGCCCTGTGTTCAGTGCCTGCTGCTTTTCCCCCTCCGTCCAGGCCCTCAGGCCTTCCTCCCCTTCCCGAAGTCGCTGTTGCTCACGGGCCCACGCCTGGTGCACGGCTCTCTGCCGGGCCAGCTCCAGCACCCGTGCCTTCTCCTCGTCCAACGTCGTCCCGTAGCGAGTGCTCAAGCACAGCGCCCCGTACTGGAGCTGGATGTCTGTGTAGCGTCTAGTCCTTCCATTGAGCATCGTGTTGATCTGGGACACGGTGACATTGACCCCATTCTCCAGGGTTCGCCGCCCCCCACTGAGGCCCAGGATGGCCAGGTCGCCTTCTGAAGGCCCTGGCTTCACGAAGTAGTGGGTGTCCACCCCGTCAATGGTGAAGTGCAGGTTCTCTAGGTAGTGGGCATTGTTCAAGATGGCAGCGACCCTCCGCCCATCCTCGTTGGCCACACTGATGATGTCTGTGGTCACTCGGCCATCCTTCAAGGCAAACTTGACCCCCTTGCCGAAAACCGAGCCACGGGATGCAAACTTCTTTGTCTCGGGGGCCTGTTGGCAGCTGGTGATCGTGGAGCCGTAGAGCTGGTCAAAACGTTCCAGGGTGACGAAGGCCTTGAGCTGCTTCTGCACTTCACACTGTACCCCAAGGATAGACTGATGGGGGAGGGGAGAGAGAGAGGGATGGAGAAAGAGAGGATGAGACAAAGGGGAAAACCTCTCCCTAACAGCCTGAAGAGTCAGCTTACATTACTAAGTCAAATCTATACATATCTATTAACCAGTAGCATCTAGCTCTACCGCTGACCACTACAACATTCCACCACCCTTCATCCATCCATTCCCCCATCGTTCCATTAAGAAACTGTTCAGGGAACATCTCTGTGCCACGTCCTTTTCTGGGCACTGGAGAGACAACAATGAATCAGACAACATCCCTGCCCTTGAGGAACCCATCATTTAGTGGGGGAGAGACAGATGTGACACACAAAACTATAATCAAATGTGCTAACTAGTGGTCTAAGAGAAGTAGTAGTAATACCTATAGCTAACATGTCTTGGTCTTTGAGCTAAAGAAGTCACATTCAGTACCTCATTTGATCTCCACAATGACTTTATATAGAAGGTATTGTTATATCACTGATTTTACATCTAAGAAAACTAAGTCTCTAAGAAGTTGTAATGGGCCCACAGTTGTACTGCTACTAAATATTCAAGCCAACGTTTGAACTCAGGTCTGTCTGACTCTAGAGGTTCAGTTTCAAGGGCTCTAGATTAGGGAGCAGCAAACAAGGCTCAGAATATCTCAGCCTGAAGGTGGAGGAATGAGGTTCAAGGACAGACTCATGCTTGAGTTGGAACTTGGAGGATAAGGGGCTGATGTAAGATGGAGCAATGGCAAGAAATGCGTTCTTGGCAAGGAGGCTTAGGAAGACGAAAAGTGGTGATTTATATAAACTCTCTTGCCCTGCTTTATTGTTCTCTGTCGTGTTATGAATGATTTTCAAGGAGGGCTCTGCCTCCACAGTGCTTCCTGGGGGCTCCTCAGATGCCCCTGATCTTGGCTGCTTTGGGGGACAGATTGGGCCCTGTCTCCGTGTCATACCACCTACCAGTCCCTCCCATGGCTCAGGGAGCCTGGCAAAGCCAGGTTTGGGTGGGCTCCGGGGCCTTATCGGCAACTCAGGGAAATGGCTTTAGAAACAGGCCCACTGGATTCTCACTGAAATTAAGTCCTCTTTATAATTAATAGAACCCTGTCTGTGAACAATTATTTCCTAGAGTTTCACGAAAGCTGGAGTGCTCAACAACAAAGATCTCTGATGCTTGCCAAGGGCAGAAATCAATAATTCATTGACAGGCGAGGTTGGCAAACAGGCCGTCTGAGACCGGGGCTCTGTGCAGGGGGGGAAGGGAAGCTGGGGTTGCGGGGAGGGTTGAGGGGAGGAGCTGAGCTGCTGGAAGCAGCTCTAGGCACAGCCAGGCCGGCCTGGGAGGATGGTGGGGATTGGAGCTGGGCAGAGGGGCAGGGCTATGGCAGCAGAGAACAACAGAAAGGGGACGGGCTCTGTGGTCAGACACACTAGGGGTTCTCATCGTCTTTCCTGCTGAGTGACCTTGAGCAAGTCTCTCTCTGAGCTCTGGTCTCCTCATAAATGCTCACAGGGTTGTTTACTTCTTTCAACCATTTGTTCATTCAACAAAAGTTTTGGTGCTGGGCAGTATACTGGGTACCAGATAAGACCCAGTGTTTGCTTTCTTGGGGCTCAGAGTCTAGTGGAGATACAGGAAGAAAACAGGAACTCAAGCCAAGTGCGGTGAATGCTTTGAAAGAGGAGAATATAGGGTGCCTCCAGAGCCAAGAGGCGCAGAGTCCCGTTCTCCAGAGTCTAGAGAAAGGAGGCAGCTGAGGACTAATGGAATCAGGTTGGATGCGTTAAGTTTCTGGCTGCCAGTGGTATGCCATCTAACAACTTGGCTTTCCCCCTCCACTGGGATCCCCTGGGAGGCCTGCTCTCTGCCTGATCCACTCCTGCATTCACTGGGTGCAGCATGGGGCCTGGAAGAGCCAGCTCCTACTACGTATATTAGGCAGAGGGGGAGGTGGGGGGGAGGGGAGGAAGAAATGAGCAAAAGGATGCCTCAAGTGAGGGGTGGGCTAAAACTGTTTTCAAGGACCTTTACAGCTATAGAATTCCATGAGTCTTTCAAACTGGGTCATAAAAGGAACAGAAGAGAAAGTAACATATTGTTTGAATGCCTACAGACAGATCCAGGTTTGAATCCCAGCTCTAACCCTTCCCTTGCTGTGTGGCACTGGAAAGCCTCGGGCATTAAATCTGTACAATGTGAACAGTAATACCAGGGGATATTTGTGAGTTAACTGGTGTAGAATACCTCAGGCAAGTTCAGGTGCACTGAGGTGCTCAGAAAATACCACATTTGTATTTAGAACACATGTTCCCTCCTTGCACTTTTGCTCTGGGTAGTGACAAAGGCTCATTGTTTTTGTAGATTTCCAAACTCGGCGTAACATAGAAAACTTAATAGGGCTTGTGAGGGTCTGTGTGCTGTTACAGCTGGGTCCACAGTGGCTTGCCAGGGGTAGGGTTCCTACGTATTTGCTGAACAGTTTCGGGCAGGCTCTGTGGATGTACCACATCGGTTTCTGTTACGGGCCCATGCTTTCCTGGAAAGCTTTGCAGGACCCACTCCTGTAATGTCTGAATGGCCTAAGGGTGGCAGCTGTGTGTGTCAATTACCTTGCTGTTGTCCCACTCCTGAGTTTTCATCTGTGTGTGGATGAGCTCATAGGATGGTTCCATGGCATCCATGTCTGGCTTGGGGTAGCCGGGAATCACGTTGTGTAGCTGGAATCCAAAGGTGAGGAGCCAACTGTTCACATCTGGGTGGGCGAGAAGCAGACATGTCCTCATGGAGTAAGTGGCTCTCAGAGGTGACATATCCCAATAAATGAGCCCAGAGTTAGGCTGCAGGGGGGGTGAGGGGAGGGGTGCTGCAGCTGGGACAATCAGTTGCTACAGGCACTTTGGAAAACTGTTTCATGGTTATAAAAGCCGCGTGCATTCTCGGGAGCTGGTGTCCCCTTCCTGGGTATGTATCCAAGAGTGTAGCCAGTAGAGTGTATGTTTCCAGATCCCCTGTTCTGTCACTCCATCTCCTGGGGCCTTGGCCTCACACCCGGGGGGGGGGCAGCTGTGGACCCTCCGTGTCCTCTCCCGGAATCCGTAGGACATTGTGGAGGACAGCCACACCCAAAGGGAAGATGTAAACGAATGCTTTCAAAGAGAAAATTCACTTAAGAAATAAGCCCTCCCTCCCCTCCCAAGTGACAAGATGGCCTGTACCAAAGCTCAAAGGGTTTCCCCCACGCTGATCATACCTTTCATTTCTTCTGGGAAGTGACTCGAAGGAAGTCACTTAACCTCCCCGTGCCTTCATTTTCCAATCTTTAATACTGGGCTTGAGGATCTAGCCCCACAGGCACTGGTTTCATTGATGTCATAACATTCCTGGGGGGTTACTAATTATAAAATATTACGCAGAGGGACAGGGAGGATTTTGCCATGAGCCTTTGGCTCATTGAGGAACAGAATCAGGGAAGCCACGCCGTAAGGAAGAGAAGGAGGCTGGATGCCGTGCCATCCGCTACCTGGCCCGCTGCTGCTGAATGTGCTCAGGAGCGTGTTACACTGACCCTCACCTTGCACACTCAGGACCCCGAAGGGGAGATGAGACGTGGGCATGCAAAACTTTGACACAAGAAAGAAAGATGACAGGAGGGCAGAAATCTTTCAGTTGGACAGGCTGACAAGTCTTCCCGGAGAAGGTGGCCTTTCAGGCAGACATTGAAAGCTGTGTACCTTTTGTCAGGCTTCAGCAGAGATGAAGGGGGTGCTTCAGGCAAAGACCGTCATACAAGGCAAGGGCGGGAGAGGGGAGGTGAGTGCAGGGAGTGTTCAGGTAACTGGAGAGCAGCTCAGCAAGGCAGAGAGAGAACCAGAAAGAAAAACTGGCGGGCGCAGGTCAGAAACCCGTAATGTCTTCCCACTCGAGAACCTCACGTTTGCCTTTGTTTTTTGTTTGTTTGTGTTTTTTGGACGTCCCAGAGCCCCTCTGTGGGGTGTGAAATCTAGAAGTACTGGCGTGGAGGGAAGGTAGGAAGGGCAGCTTAGAAACCCAGGTTCTACTTCTAGAAAGATCGTGGGAAGGGAAAGAGCATGGTGAGGCAAGACAAAACCCAGGTCCAAATTCAGGCTCCCCAGCTTGCAGACTGTGTGAACTGGGACAGTTGCCTCAACCTCTCTGAGGTTCTGATTCCGGATCTACAAACTGGTGGTAGAAATGGTTTTCACCAAGCCATGGAGAAGAACGCTGATAGTGTTAGCACTTTGGGCAGCCATCATACAGGGGGAACTGTTCTAAGCCTGTTACAGGAAGGACTGGGTATCCTATACTATATTCTAAAGTGTCCAGCTCGGTTCCTGGCTCATAGAAGGTTTTCTGGGTCCCTTCACACCCGGGCCTCTGCGTCCCTGGACCCCCATTTCCTCATTTATGACATGAGGCCCTTGGACTAGCTTTCCTCCAGAGTCCCTTTCCTCACTGAGTTTTTGAGAATCTCCGATTCTATGAATCGTGGCAGATGGTTTTTTAGGAAATTAAAACAAACAGAACAGGGGGGAAAAAGTCCCCTACGAAGCCATTTTTGCCTGAGGCCGAGAACTTGCATCTGAATTTGTAGTTGGAAAGGAAAACTTCTAGCAGGAATATTACAAATTCCCAGGAAACCAGGGGGCTGAAAAGAGGGCTGGGCCTTAATTATAAGTGATGGGAGGTAGGGACATTTCTCATGATGATGCCTTTAGGAAAAATGCTGAAAACTGATTTATTCATTGGTTTTTCTACAGCGCTTTTCTGGAGAGTTGGGAATTTTACTCTTCCTTTTTATGACACCAGAGCTAGACATTTCCCTCAAGTTAAAAAGCTCCTCTTTACCCGTCCGCCCCAGACTTCGGGCGTGGCCACCCGGGGCAGCGATGAATAACAATCCCTTTTACGTGTGCACACTACAAAGTGAATTCCATGCCCAGAATGAGGATTTTGGAGTCAGAGCCGAGTTCCAGCCCCAGGCTTGCCACTTCTCAGCGGGCCGGTTACATTACAGCTCAGACCTTCACTTTCCTCCTCTGAGAATGGGGTCAGTGATCCCCCCTCTTACAGGCTTCCCGGGAGGGTTACTGTGTTAGTGTGTGTGATGTATCTGAAGTGGATGTCTTGTGGTTGCCTTTCCAGCATCCCATTCTGCCTTCCCGCTCTTTCCTTTTGGGGTATCTGTGCAGCTGTAGGGATGCTGACTCCACCTGCGGCAAGTGAGCGTGTGACCTAGGCTAAGCCAGTCAGCGCGTTTTCTCCCTCCAGCCACAGTGCATGGTTCAGGGGCTGCCATGTGACCTAAGCCTATCCCATTGGAGGGTATCTCAGGACCTTTGAAGGAAGTTTTGGAAAAAAGATGCTCTTTTTATTGGTGTTACTGCTGGGTGTGAGTGAGGCTGCACATAGCTCACGTGGAAGCTAATAGGTTTGGGGGTGTCTTGGTTTTTAGTAGCAAAATGTTTTCCTGTACCATTTTTTCCCCCAGCTAAACTAACCTGCCAAAATACCTCACAAGACACTCACTGGAGGATGAGGCAGGGGGCATGCTTGATGCAGACAGATGTCATGGAAATGAGCTCTAAATCTGTTAAGTTTTCTAGGGCTGCCAGCAAGTTGAGCACAGTGAGACCGTGGTTGGGATATTCCTGTTTCCCACAGGTCCCAAGCGTGTTTTCACCACTGCACCTGCCCACCACTGTGTTCCCTCTTCTGCCCCATTCTGGGACTCCTGCTCTCAACATGACCACTAGGAATCTTCCAATCAGGGTCTGCAGGAACAGGGTCCAAACTGGGCCACCAAGTTCGGGGGGCCAGGAAGCCACTTCCCTAAGGGTCAGTTATGTGAGCAGTCCCTGTTGCCCTCTCTAGACTTCTGTATGTGCGGTCGTCTCCTTGGACTGCCTTTCACCCTACTGGCTGATGAATGTCCACTGCGAAGGGGGCCCCATGCATCTGCTGCTCCCTGGGCAGAGACAGCTGTGCCTCCAGTGTTTCAGTAGCCGTCAGGGCAAACCTTCATCCCAGGCCCCTCACACTGGACAGCAACTGTCTCCCTCCCCACCGCTGTGTGCACTCCTGGAGGGCAGCGACCATATTTCTATGCCCAGTGCGTAAAACAGTGGCTGCACAGAGAAGGCATTTGTTGAATGAAAATGAAACTGCCTTGAAATAGGGTGCAGGCATAGCTGGCATCACAGGAAAAACAGAAGGAGATTATCAGGTTTGCAAGTCAGGAGGCGCCCAATTGGCACCAACAACAAAGTCTCTTTTATAAAGAGTGCTGGCTTTATCCAGACCTGAGTCCCCGTAGCCGCTTTGACTCCTGAGGTCTTTCATGGCTGGCCTGTGAGTGGCTGCTTGCTGGCTGGACTGTGGCTGCTGGAGACTTTTCTGGCATGTGTGACCAATGGGGACACTGATATTTCAGGTGCTTTCACAGTCATGGAAAACAAAGCCCACTTTTTAAATCCGGGAAGAGGAAAGGTAATCAACATGAGCCAGGCACTGTGCTAGGCAGGTTATTAAATGTATCTCATTTCACCCTCGCAACCACCTTTCTCTTTTTATCCCCTCTTCCTCCCCTCTTTGGATTGAATATTTTTTTAGCCTTCACTTTTATTTCCACTATTGACTAAATACCTATGTCTCTGTTTTATTCTTTACTGGTTGCTTGAGGATTTACAGTGTGCATATTTAATTCACCTGTGTCAGTGTAGGTTTCTGACTTTAATTTACAGATCAGGAAACTGGAATTCAGGGAAGTTAAGTAAATTGCGTGATTGTCCATTACATCGTCCCAAATAAGAAAACTGATTTTGTTTTTCTTTAGCTATACCTTCATCCACCTTATCGGGGACTCATAGCCAGCCTGATCTCTGGGCCAGAAACTCCCAAACTGTATTCTCAGGGGTGTATCCAGTGAAATATTAGGGTTTCATGGTGAAAAAAGGGGTTTTATGCTCAAATATTTGAGAAACAGTGGGGAAAGGGGTTTCATGGTCAAATGAGAAATTGTGGGTAAATGTACCAATTAGTTCTCTTTACTATGGACTTCTCAGAGCCTTTCATAAGCTGCAATGTGTTATTAAATTTTAAGAATGGTGGTTGCCCTGTTAAATTAATTTGATGTCAGTACCAGTTTTTCCAGGCTGTTTCTCTAAACCAATGTTTCTTAAAAAATGCTTTGGAAAATGCTTTTGTAAGAGAAAGCCAATGTTTCTTGTTACCCCATACCAGCTTTTTCAAGGACAACTATCGTGTCAGATGACCAGAGCTGTAGTGGGTCCTGTCCTCTGAACAAGCCCCAATCCTCACCTGTCATGAAGCACTTGATGTCCTGAGAGTTGCTGATGGGGTTGTTGTTTTTAAACATGTAGAGATTAAAAGGCATGATGTTGCTGCTACTAAGGTGCTTCCACAGCTCGTGGTCTGGGCTGGTCCAGCGACCAGCCAGCACGTCATAATCCCGCCGGCCCATGTGGATGAGCTTGGTGAGTGGATCGTAGAGGCCACCGTGGTAGCCGATGATGATCTGGAAGTTGGGGTTGGTGTCCATGTAGATCTCCCCGTAGGCCGTGTACAGAATCTGCTTGATCATCAAGCCTGTTCCACTGAAGACAGCAAGAGGGGTCCCGATGTTGTCACAAGCTATGTAAAACTCGTCACCACTGCTCAGCTCCATAGCAAAGAGATGCCCCTGCAGATCGTAGTAGAGGGATGTGATCTCGGAGCTGGAGTGGTTGTAAAGGTGGGTGACCTTGGTGGGGTTGGTCAGGTCTGCATAGAAGAACTGCAGGTGGTGGCTGGGGCTGCTCTTGCTGGACACCCGCCGCCCCAGGCCATCGTAGCGGTACCTGACGCTCCAGCCACCGGCCCGGTTGTACGCCTTGATGAGCAGGCCAGCAGAGTTGTACTCGAAGACATCCCCGCCCCGCTGCCTCAGGAAGCCATCCTCGTCCATCTTGTACTGCACGTCACCCAGCCTAGTGATGCGGTCTCGGAGGTCGTACCTTAGTGGGGTAAGCCGCGCACTGTTCCCGGGGCTCAGTAAGTGCAGGTTCCCATTGAGGTCATAGCTGTATCGCCAGAGTGGCTTGTCATTGATGGAGACCGTCTGGAGCTGGCCGTCAGCGTCATACTCATAGGAGTAGCGGGTGGTATTGGCATAGGGTCCCACCTTCAACTCTTTCTTCACTACTCGCCCCATGTTGTCATACTGGACAGTCATCCAGTACATGAGGGAGCGGAAAATCTCATATTGCACTTCCTTCATCCGGCCATACGCGTCAAAGTGTTTGGTGTGGGTCATGACCGCCGTAGTGATGATCTGGTTAATGTCATAGTAGATGACCCCAAACTTCCCGAACTGCTCTGTCTTGCCTGACACGTCATCATAGCGATAGAGATCGATGGGCAGCGGGGTCTCATTGATCACAGCCTGCATGCTGGTCACCCGGAAGCTGTTGTCATAGTTATAGTCAAAACGAGCATTGACCATGCCTTCTTCGGTGAAGCGGAAGATCTGGCGGTCGATCAGGGGCCCAATCTGGCGGTAGCGGATGGTGCAGGTGAAGCCCTCGTTCTGTAGGTTGATGGTCTTCAGCATGCCTGCTGTCTCGTCATAGGTGAAGCTCACCTTGGTGGTGTCATACAGCATCTCAGCCAGCTTTGACAGTTTGCCATACTTGTAGACGACCCTGCGGCCGGTGCCCAGGTAGAAGGTGTGGAGGAGGTGCCCGTCCTCGCTGAAGTCCTGGATGACTGAGGCGTTGCCCTCGGGTGGCTGGTAGATGTTCCTGTAGTAGCCCACGGACCGGATGGTCTCTAGGGTCTGCCGGGCCACGTTGGGCATCGTCACGGAGGAGAGGCGGTCGTTCTTGTCGAACTCAAAGATATACTGCCTCTGGCTGTGGAGGAGCAGCACCATGGACTGGAGGGAGAGGACAACAAAGACGTGAGAGGAGGGCGGTGGGGACGAAGGGTAAGTCTGTGTGCCCAAGACTAAGAGGAGAGGAGTAAACGGCCATGGAAACTGGTGGTTCTCCTAAGTTATGTCCAAACCACAGCTTTCTAACCAGTGTGCCCCAGGATACTGCAGTGGGGACACAAATGTGCTAAGCTAAGGACTTCTTGGGGCGCCTGCATGGCTCAGTCATCTGGGCGTCCGACTCTCGGTTTCGGCTCAGGTCGTGATCTCGGGGCCGTGGGACCCAGCCCCACGTCGGGCTCTGCGCTCAGTGCAGAGTCTGCTTCAGATTCCTTCTCCCACCTCCTCTGCCCCTCCCTGCTCATGTGTTCTCTCTCTCTCTTTCTCATAAATAAATAAACAAAATCTTAAAAAAAAAAAAAAAGGATTCCTCTCAGCCCTTGGGCCTGGCACTCGGGCCATCTGTCTTCCTGCAGTGGGCAGCCTTGTCTGTTTGCCCCTTTGCGTGGTACAAAAGTGATGACTGCAGTGGGTGCTGGTGTGTGAGAAAGGTAGGGAACACTGACGAGGAGTATGGCAGCAGCCTCTCTCCTGGCTTCCTTGCTTCAGCTTCCTTCTCAAATCAGTCTCCCTACTCAGGCAAGAACGATTTTGCTGAAACACAGCCTGGCAGTACCTCCTGCCTGCTAAATAACTTCTGTGCACTCCATGTGGCCCACAGGATAAGGACCGCATCTGAGAAAGGCATTTAAGGCTTTGCATGATTGTTTATGTAGGAAAACAGGTCATAGGCCCACGCTGGGGTGGGGCGGGCTGTGATTGGGAACGGGGGAACCTGATTCCTAACAGTGGGCTTATTGTGTGGCCCCGGGAAGGTTCCTTCCCCCTCTGGGTTGAGCTTTTAGGTATGTCGGATGACCTCCAAGGTCTCTCTTAGCACCACCACAGAACACGGCTCTTGAAGATGCTCACCCAGCACAGGGTGGGGAGGACTGAGCGCAGACCAAGCACAGCATGGGCTCTGGGCAGGTGACCGTGAGCAGGAAACAAAGTAAAGATGTGGGTTCCAGAATGGGGGCCTGAGGTGCAGGTCTTTTTCGGGAATAAGTCAGGAGGTAACAGACCTAGAGCCTTCTCAGCAGCAAAGCTCCCATTTTCTCCTGTTTGGGACCAACTTTCGCTCTCAGGGCTTTTCTGAGTCCTAGCCCCTGGGATGCAATAAATCTTGACCTTAAGCAGAAGGGACTTACTAAAGTTATGCTCACCATTCAAAGCTCAGGATTAATTACCTCCTGCTTAAGGACTGATCGCTAGGCTTCTGCTCTGTTCTCTGTGACCAGATCACATGGTGTGCCCCAGATCTGGGGGAAGACCCCTGCCTGGGTCTGCACCCTGAGTCCTGCTCTGTGAGACCAGTTAGCGTTGGGCCTCTTCCTGGCTCTAGACTATCACGTGGGGCTTGCCCATTCTCCTGCCCCCAAACTCCCACCTGTCACATCATCACTACAATGCACCCAGATGCCTGTCGGGCTCCCTGGTCCCCTGTTGCAGATTTTTCCAAACACTTCCTTTTGGAGACCACGTGTGTCTAATCCACCCCACTGAAGTCAGCACGCTGGGCCTGGCCATGGGTCGAGCCACAACGACCGGCGTTCTGGATGGTAAAGCCAGTGTTGGGGAGACGGACACCTGCCTTCTCTAAGTATGTGTAGCTCCACGTCTTCCCGTCAGCGAAGATCCTGGATGTGATACGACCTGCTTGGTCGTATTCCATCCTCTCCGACATGATGCCTCTCTGGACGCCAGCAATATGGCCCCCGGGGGAGTACGTCACGTTGACACCGTTCAGCCTGCTGCTGGGTGACCAGAGGCTGGGCCGCCCTGCCTGGTCATACAGGATCCGGAGAGTGAACTTGCGGTGGTCATCATAGATCTTCTCGGTGCGGGTCACACGGTCAAAGTCCAGGGACAGGAGGTTCCGGTTGTGAACCTGGAGAAGGGGCAGGAGGAAAGAGTGAGTTAATCTGGGCATGGGAAACTTCGGTGTGAGAAGGTCCTGAGTAGAGGAGGCAGCACAGGTCACGGGTGTGAACAGACAGGGTTTGGGTCCTGGCTCTGTCACCTGTCAGTTCTGTGACGCTTCCTCATCTGTCAAATGGGAATAATAATGCCAATTACATAGGACTATTGTGAGAATGAAGACAGTGCAGGTGCTGAGCCAACAGTGGCTAGTCCTGAAGACAATCCATATTGTTTCCTAATGGGATTCTTCTAATGAGGACAAAAAGCAGATCCTTCTTGACTCTCTCCTAAAAGGGGAGAGGCCAGGTGGGTGTAGCAAATTCATGCATGACCCAATTTCTCATGTGCTAGGCAATGTGCTAGTGTTTGGCACTGAGGAGACCAAAGCTCATGGACATGAAGGGACCTCCTCCAGATCTCCTGGCTCGTGAGGGACTGCGTCCAGATGTGACTCTCACTATGGCAACATGCTGACAAATGCTCAGGGGTCCTCTGAGTGTGTCTGTCCCTTTTAGGGGCCTTGGACCTTCCATCCCCTCTGGCGTCTCTCTTGCCCTCTGCCACCATAGTTAAGGCTTCCTGGTTACATTGGTCAGCTCCCAAGGTGTCGTCTTCTTCCTGGAGGCCCTGGGAGGCCATGTGCGTTTGAGTCTAGGACAGTTTCTATGTGCCTGGGGACAGACATAGTCCTAGCTTTGGGACATTCTGCTCCTGCCTCCAGGATCAGGATCCCCTTTGTAGGATGTCTACCTGTGCTGCTAGGTCAGCACACGATTCAGTTTCCTTTCAGAGTCAGGAATACAGGGCTCCCACAAAGGTAGCAGTAAGTCAGGGGTTTTCATAGTTTCATAAAGAAATAGACTTCAGAGGCCTATTTCCGTACTGGGATCCACCCCGTAGGCGCTGGTTGCCCCTGAAATACTGCCAGGCACTCCAAAGCTAAAATGCTGGTCCCCTCTAGCTGGGTACACTTTGTGACTCTTCCATTAGTCACTGGTTAAGTCTGACAAGTAAGGAAAGCAGACAACGTAGGTCTCGTGACGCAAAAGCACACATGTGGGCCACGGTAACGGGAGGCCCTGGAGGGCTCTGTGCGGTGAAAAGGGCTCAGGTCTAGAAAGTAAGGCCAGGATCCCAGCCTCAATGCTGTGACCCACCGCTTTTCTGTGTGACTTGGGCAAGCGCCGTTGCCTCTCTGAGTCTCAGTTTCTTCCTCCGAACCGAGCTATTGTGAGGACTGAAGAAGCCTAAGTCAACTGCCTAGTGGAGTTCTGGGTGACTAGAAGGTCCTGAATTAATGATTGCAATTATTTCCATTAAGGCAGCAAATGATCACGGTCATTCTCAGGGAAAGTAGAGACGTGTGTTTCCCCCTTCTCTCCAAACAAATTCTTAAACCTTGAAAATAAGGATTTATAATGATGCTGAGACAACTTCAGCTGTGAATGGCCTGGTTGTAATAAGGTTGCCTTCCCAGGGGTAATCAAACACAATTGCAGAGCAAAAACAGTGCGGCAGACAATTCCCATGAAAAATTGGAGGCGCTGGAGACTGAAGCTGTGTTCTTTGCCGGGAGGGCAAAGGAAGATGCAGGGTCCGCACCCCCACCAATGCTGGGGGCCATTTCAAACCCTCTTTTGCAAGGTCCCCTGCGACTCCCCCCCAAAGGGGTGCCACCCAGCCAGCTGCCCCCCTTGTCCCCTGAAGGACCCCTAGTGAAGGGGAGCTAAACCTCTGTGGCAAAATTAATAAAATTGAATTAAGCAGCTCACTGGGGAACCGCCTAATGCCTCCTGTGCTCGGCAGTGGCGGCAATGAGATTATTTTACATCTTTCTTTATTAAAAAAGTTCCCAGTTGTATAAAAAATGAGCTCCATTATGGGGAGGCGCACCCGGCTAACATTCTAATTCCACATGCCGCCACTGTGGGTGGCCATTTATTTTGGGAGGACGTGGAGACGTGGCCACCCGACTGGAGCACCATTAATCTCAGGCTGGGAGAGGGACCAATTAAAGCCTGGGAAACTTGTGGTCCAGCTCATGCCACAGACGGGAAGTCCTAACAGCACTAATCGCCTCCGTTTATTGAGCACCTGGGGGTCTACCAGCACCGGGCTAGGTACTTGGAATATATTATCTTGTTTCCACAGGGGAGGGGGAGACTCAGAGGAGTTGCTTGGAGCTACACAACCAGGCCCAGCCAGGAATCAGACCAAGGTCAAACTTCCCGTTTAGCACATTGCCTCAGACGTGCCTGAGGGGCTCCTAGAGAATTCAGACGGGGGCTCTGTGAGGCTGCAGAGGGTGGCAGGCCACCGAGAGCACAGACAGAGAGGCCTGCCTCAGGGAACTAATGCAAAGCTCTTTCCCACATTCGATTTTTGCCGTTAGTTCTTGGCCGTGCAGGAAACACAGGAAGCCTGGCTTTCTGGGTTCCCGCTGTGTGATGCTGGCTATGTCGAGACACGAGCCATGCTGAATGAGGGTGCTTCTGTGGTTTTTAGGAGTCAGGAACATCTTGCTCACTTCTGTGGTTCCCTTCAGCCCAGCAAGTGTCTGCAGAGCACCAGGCATCTGCGAGGGGCTGTGCTGAAAGCCAGGGCCAGTTTCTTTGCTGTCACACTGCCCCTCACCTTCCATTCTGAAGCTGGAGGGAAAAGAAGCTAGGCAATGGGGCCTGGCCTGGGTCAGAGGTAACACTCCCCAGAAGCATGGGGCGTGAGGCAGAGAACAGGCTGGTTCAGGGCATCCACATACTGAAAAGCACTCTGAACTGCCAGGCCCCACATGCCAACCCACTGGTGGTGACAGCCGGAGCGGGGGGCGGGGCGTTGTTGTGCTCATTTAGTAGGAGATAACTGCCTGGAAAGAGCGCAGGATGGGGCTTAGGTTCCAAACAGCTCCATATGAATAACAGTAATGACCAAAACGGTGGTGAGAATGGCAGGAACAACAACGGTGGTAGGTATGACTGACTACTCACTGTGTGCTAGACTCCATACAAGGCACTTTATATACTATTTCTAATTCTCGTAGCAACTTGTGAAACTGACTTTATCCTTCCCATTCCTTTGGACAATGAGACTGAGGCTTTGGATGAATGAAAGGACATTATGGATTTGCTCAGATTCAGTCAGGGTATAATAGAAGCTGGAAACCCAACTCAGGCCCAACACTAAAGTCAATACTCTTTCCACAAGTAACAACTGAAAAGATATTCGAGACTTATTATGGGTGTGTGTGTGTGGGGTGCCTACTTGACTTTCCCCCTTTTGCAAAGGGCCCAGGAAAACGTTCACCCCCAGGGCCAGTTTCAAGAATGGAACCTGGTTCTGCAGATTGGTCCCCATTTTCTCATTCTCCCCACCGCCCCCCCACCCCCCACTCCCCACCCCAGCGACCTCCAGAGCTCCAGAGGCTGAGGCCCGCCCCGCCCACCTGACCTGCCCGGGGCTTGCTCACCCGCAGCCGGCGCCCGAACACAGTGACCTGGCCCCGAGCCTGCTCCTTGCGCTGCCGCCACTCCACCAGGTTCAGGCCGTTGTCTATGGGCAGCGTGACGTTCCTCTTGCCCACGGTGGGGTTGACGGTGCCCGCCAGCAGGTGGGGCTCGGTCTGCAGCGCCACCTCCATGCCATTGGCCAGCAGCAGCCGCAGGGAGCCGTCAGCCCCGATGTAGTAGCTGTTCCGGACCTGGTCTGAAGGAGAGGAGAGGGACCGGCTCTGCTCAGAAGGGCTGGGCATGGGCTTGGGGCGGGGGGGGTTCGCATCAGGGGTAGCGGTGTTTTTAAATGGGTTTATTTTTTTGACTATGGAAACGGAACACGATCATGGAAGAAAACTAGGAAAATAGAGGGAGATCGTCCATGATCTCATACCCAAAGAAAGCTATTGTAAATATTTTGTATATTCCTAGACTTTAGGATATTTCTGAATACACTGATAGCTCAAAGTAATTGCTCATGGTTTTTCACTGATGATGGTATTATACTGTTGAATATTTTTCATGTTTTTCTTAAAGACTGCATAGTATTCCATTATATGCAAATCCATAATTTACCTAACCAACTTTCAAGTAGATATTGTTTCCAGTTTTTCATAATTACAAAGTTAACACTGCAAATAAACATATTGTAAACATTATGCTAAGTGGAAGAAGTCAGACACAAAAGACCACATGATGTATCGATGAGTCCATTTATATGAAATGTCCAGAATAGGCCAATTCATAGATAGAGACAGAAAGTAGGTTAGTGAGGAAAAGGTAGAATGGGGAGTGACCACTAAATGGGTATGAGCTTTGTTTTTGGGAGTGATAAAAATTTTCCAGAATTAGATAGCATTAATAATTGCACAACTTTGCAAATATACTAAAACCCCTTGAATTGTATACTTTAAAAGTGTGAATTGTATATTTTTAATTTTTTTAAAAGGGTGTATTTTATAGTATGTGAATTACATCTCTTAAAAAATATACTTTTTGGATAAATCATTGTCTTCATTTTGGGTTAAGTTACTAGAACAAAGGGTTGAACATTTTTAAGTTTCTTAATATACACCAGGGTAACAATATTCTTTACAACAAGGTGAGAAATAACTCCAATACTTAAGTCACTGACAAAATGTCAAACATATGTATGTTTGAAGTCACTGTCATATATTTATACATATATGTGCATAGATATACCAGTGATTTAAAAATAAATCTGATTTTGAAATTTTAAACCTGATTGAAACATTTAAATTGGGATCTTTAGCTAAAAGAAACTTCTGGAGAAGAGCACATTTCAGCTGTAAAATGCACACAGTTCTTTTCTAAAAGTGGAGACATCTCTGAGTTTGTGCTGCAGTCTTCTGCCTCTTGGCCTTCCTCAGCTGGTGCTTCCTCTCTTCAATGAACGCCAGCTCAAGTCCTCCCTTCAAGGCTCGGCTTAATTGTCATCTCTTCCCAGAAGCTTCTCCAGTTCCTTGGTCAGAATGAATGCCTTCTCTTCCCTTAGCCTCTTTATGGGCCTCACTAGTGGTCCTGCAGCTGAGGGGTGCAGGGCTTGCCACTCTGGTATGAAGGCACTCTCAAATACCTAAGTGCCCGCTGCGAGAGGGCAACTGCCCAGAGAAGGAGACCATGGCCTTCAGAGCTGGGCTATCAGGGTTCAAGTCCCAGCTCTGCCACTCTCTTGGGCAAATTCCTTAACCTCGCATGCCTCTGGTTCTTCATCTGCACCTTGGGGATAATAACTGGACCCTTACCTCGTAGGTAAGGGTCTTTTAAGAGATGTAATTCACATACTATAAAATACACCCTTTTAAAAAAATTAAAAATATACAATTCACACTTTTAAAGTATACAATTCAGGGGGTTTTAGTATATTTGCAAAGTTGTGCAATTATTAATGCTATCTAATTCTGGAAAATTTTTATCACTCCCAAAAACAAAGCTCATACCCATTTAGTGGTCACTCCCCATTCTACCTTTTCCTCACTAACCTACTTTCTGTCTCTATCTATGAATTGGCCTATTCTGGACATTTCATATAAATGGACTCATCGATACATCATGTGGTCTTTTGTGTCTGACTTCTTCCACTTAGCATAATGTTTACAATATTATGAAGAGCTTAGAGTAGAAGAGCTGAGAGTAGTCCTTGGTATGTAATGAGTATTATGTAAATGTTAGCTCGTACTAGTTTTATGTGCTTGGCACTGTACCAGTCGCAGTCACATACATCTCTTGTCCGCTCTCCTCTACCTCCATCGCCTCGTGGCATAGATCTGTCATAGTGAACTTTTCTAGTACTGAGCATGCGTCTTCAATAGCTTCCCATGGCCTTTGGACCAGTGGTTAAGAGAATGGGTTCTGGAGCCTCTTTGTCTGGGTCTAAACACCCTACCAGGCATGCGTCTTTGGACAAGCCACCTAACCTCTCAGTGACTTACTGTCTTCATTTGGAAAATGGAGATGTTAATAATACCTCATAGCGTTGTGGCAAGCTGAAACAGGACTATGAATGTAAAACACTAAAAATCTACTTTATACTTAATAAGTGTTCCAAAATGTTAGCTATCACTGTTATTATTGTATGTGCTCAGTAAACATTTGCTGGATTGAACTAGATCTATTACAGGCTATGTTAAGCAAAAAAAAAAAAAAAAAAAAAAAGGTATAGTTTTGTAGGAAACCCTCGCTGAGCCTTCCAGACGAGAACTTCCTCTGCCACTCCCTTCCCCCCTCCATCCTTCCCCCACTCATTCTCTCTCACACACACAGAATCCTAAGATCTGCCTTAAACTTGCTATGCATTATTCACTGGCAATCTGTATTTTACCTCCTTTGAATGGTGAAAAAGCCTGTGTCAATTTATCTTTTAAAGCTGCTTCTTGCTGAATGCACATATGTCCATTAATGGTGACTTTGGATGGAATGGTTTCTTGTAGAGGCCCATCTCAAACGATCCCCATTTAATGTGAGCTGTGACTCCCCAAGCCTGCCCCTCATTAGCAGTTGCTTCTTATTTCTTCCCATAGTTCAGATGTAAGATGAAGCTGAAAGAGCTTTTTATGAAGACTCTACTGAGGCGGCTGCCAAATGGAGCATCTAAGTCCGGTCTGAAAGAAAAGGGATCTTGGCAGGGGCACCACAGAGGAAACAGGTACTGCACTTCCCGGATTCCGAGAGGCATTTTTCCTTTTCCCACTTTAGTGTTTCTGAAATTGGAATGTGTCTTAAGTCCTTGTATGAATTTTGAGCCGTGTGTCTCCCCTCCTCTCCAAGCTGAAAAGTTACCATTAAATCGATGGTACATTTTAAGAGTGAGGAAATGTGGTACTTTTGAATTTAAAAAACGTTGCCTAAATATAAGAAAGGCCGCGCTAACTTTTGAGAAAAATGCCGCAAGCCAGCTCAGAGGTGTGGAGTGGATAAGACAGTTCTTAACCCCAGGGAAGGACAAGGTGTCTGAGCCAGCAGGGCAGGTGTCTGTCCTTGGCCAGGCAGAACCTGGCTGGCTCGGAATTGGTACTTCCTTTTGGCAATAATGCAGTCAGAGCATTAAATACCTGGGGTGTGTCCCAACCTATGCTACAGGTGCTGGTGGGGAAAGAGCTCCTTTCTCTTTCTCTGAGAACGGCTATTGTTCTTTGAGCCTCTTTATAGACACAGGATTATGTTTGGGAGTAAAATCGGTTGTGAAAATATATAAGTTATTTTCTTATGGTAAACCAAAGTGTCAGTTATGAAATACTTAGTTCATTAATCCAACAAGTACTGAGTAATACTACGAGTCTGGCCCGTGGTGGTCACCCTACGTACAGTGTGTCAAGAGATCGTCTGAGCAACGGGTACGAGGCAGGTATCCTAATTCAGCCCCGGTTCCCAGACCCAGAGACTGAGGCTCAGAGAAGAATGATTCCACCCAATTCACACAGGTAGGAACCAGCGCAGTAGGCATAGGGAGCCCGGTCTGTCTAGTCCAGAGCTTCTGCTCCTTGCTTTGCCTCATACCATTCAACATGGCTTCAACTTGCTTTCGCTTCCTCAAGGAGAAAATTGAGGGCCCCCACCCCCATGATGTGGTGGCAGAGTCAGGAATAGAATTTGGGCCCCTGACTCCTAGCCCAAGGCTCTTTTTACTACTCGTGTCAAAGCTTTTGGGAGTACCAAAAGCCATCCGGAGGGTGGCGGGGCGGGGGGAGAAATCCAACAAGGCTTTCCCTAGTGATACCTTTTTTCTTTTTCATGCTTACTAGTGCCAACAAAGCTACAAGCTCCACTCTGGGTCACCACGTCCCTTGAGGACAATTGAGGCAGATGGTTAGTTCGCAGCAAGGTTTTATCACTGTGATTTACCAAAAGCTAAAAGGTCAACTCATACCAGGGATTATTTGATGGGTGCAGAGAAGAAGGGTCTCTTCTCTATGGACTCCTAGAGAAGGCACAAACTGTTCTCACCTGAGCTTCAGCAGAGACTTCTCCATGCCTAGATCCCTTTCATGATTAGGTGTAATTATTATTGTCCTTTGTCCTCACCCACAGCAGGGTGAGAGTAGGAACCCTTAGAATGGTGGAATAGTGAGGTCACCTGGATTAGCAGCTAGTGCACTCTCTACCCTTTGTTCTGATGATAATGGGATGAGACAATGGACTTTTACTCTGAAGCTTCTGGGACAGAATATCGGGACTCGGGCTGGTGTGTTCTGCACATTAGATGGCAATGCACAGAGAAACCAGTTGTGATGCTTTCCTGTTCTTGGGCGGCTCTAGTAGCAACTGAGTTCTTACATCAACCTCTTCCAAAGGGGTCCCTTCACCCCTCTGCCTTGAAGTCCCCAAGCCCCCCACCTGGCTTACCTTGCAACAGTGTATAGAAGGCACCCGAAGCAGACAGGTTGGTGGTTATGGTGACATCATCCTTGCTGGAGGTCTCTACCTGGACATGCACTGAGCTGTCTGTATCACTTCGGAAACTGCTCACCTGGCCAGTAGGGAAGGTCACATTCATCAGGCGGCCAAAGCTGTCGTACCTGAAAACCAAGGGGTGGCTCTGAGTAACAGAAATATAATGGTGCTATTGCTGGAACTTGGTAAGTTCTACCCTGTGCCACAGTTGGGCATGTTCTGCTTTTCTTTCTGATTAGATACGTTGTCATTGCTCCTCCATCTCCTTGCACACGGTTTTTCGGGAAGTGACTCCACCTGCTGATGTCTGACTAGAGGTAAGGCAAATGACTTACCTCTCTGAGTTTTCCTTTGCTAATTCCATAGGAATTAGGGGGGAGGGGCAGGGGATGATGACCCCTGCCCTGCCTACCTCTCAGGATTACGGTGGGGAACATGTTGGAGTGGCCTGTAGCTGTAAACTAGTAGCCACCCATGCAGGGGTAAGATGATGGAGGCCATTGGAGACCGCTGACCTGGGGTCTCAGAGGGGGGAACTCCCAGAGGTGAGGGCGCTAAAATTGATGCTTGAATACCCTCTCAAGACCCTGACGACCCGTTATACAGGTTGTTCCTGAACAACACAAGAGATGGGGCTTCCTACAAAGCTATAGACCCTGGGGAAAGGGGGCTCTGAATCCAAACCAGGATCCTGCTGCCACATAAGGAGGCTGAACGGATGGGCTCTTGCAACCCCTTCCCACCTCGATTTCACAGCCAGCACCAAGCAGTTACATATCTGCAGTCGTCACAACTCACAGCTCTGCTCTGGTGTGGGCTTTCTGAAGCATGACAACTGAATCTTAATTCTCTTTTCCATTCCTGAGAATAATAAAAGAAATGCCTACCATTTCTAAGCACCCACCGTGCTACAGCACAGCCTTTCTTGTACCTTCTTTCGCTTACTCCTTGCAACTCGTCTAAAAGGTATAAATGATCTCCTTTTTGGAGGAGGCTCAGAGAAGCGAAGTCACCTGCTCAAGGTCCCACAACTGGTAAGTGTGGTGGAGTCAGAATTCAGACCCAGATCTATCAGCTTCCAGGCTCCCACTTGTTTCCCTGCCGTCGCCCAGCATTTCCGCGCTGTCCGTTTGCAAGTGTCCGCTGCGTGGACTCTGCACGGCAGAGTGGTCAAGAGGCGGCAGGCAATAGGCTGTTAACACTTCAGTTATAATTTGTAATTGCAGGAGGCTGGAGTGTAAAAAGGTAGGTTTAATAGCCTTTTCGCCCTTGTGTGTGAATGGGAAAAGAGGTCTTCATCCAGATGTCAGTATTTCTGACTTCTGCTCATGCTCAAGCGGGCACATGGCTTCTGTTGTAGGTCTCCCCCATGGCCTCCGGGTCTCCCTACTGGACATTTCCCCCTGCTTTGCCCTTACTACAGCCGCTTCTGGGCCCCGAGGGATTTCGTGATGGCAAAATGAAAGGCCCGAGTGTTTAGCGCTGTCCTGGCTCTTCCCGTGGTCCTTCAGCTGTGCCTGGCTTCCCGCTGGGACCCCTGGTGCTGCGGCTTCTATGGCTTCAGTTGAGACTTGGGAGGTAAGACCAGGCAGGCCTTGGCTGCCCAAGGTCAGATGTGGGTGCTGCATGGATTCTGCCTTCTGCCAACTCTTTCTGTCCCTGTGCCTGGGACTGACCGAAGCACTCTTTACCCTGGCACAGTCAGCCACAGATGGGGTGCTGGATAAAGGTCTTTTGAATGACTCACCCCAGTCCTTGACCGAAGACCAACTCTGGGATCAGTTGAATCTGTTGCTGAGGTCTGAGGAAGGGGGATGGAAGCCCTTTCCAGCATGACAAACAGCACAGGGATCTCTACCATATACCTTGGGCTTGGGCTTGGCGGGGCAAGGGTGTGGGCTGTATCAGTCCTTCCGACTCTCCTATAGGCACCTTAGGGGCTTTGGAAACCTGCTTCTTGTCATGATTTCTTATCTTTCTTCCTTAGCACTGAGTCAGGTTCTTGTAAGAAATCGTCAGTCTGGCGTCAGGGAGGGTGACGATGTGGCTTAAAACCTGGGCCGGAGGGTCACAGGTGCAGGATGCCCCTCCGAGCTGGGTGAGGAGGTGATTCTGAGAGACTGCTGCTAGGAAGGAAGGTAAGTCTTGGGATAAAGATCTGGAAGGTTTGCCCTAAAGCCTGTCTGTTCTGGAGATGCTCTCAGAGCTCTGCTTCCTTTAACTCTAGGGGAGATGGTATTCTTTTCAACTCCTTATGGTGGCTGGAAATTTGAATAGGAAGGGATTTCACAAAAATGTTTAGAGTGGTTATCTCTGGGAGGTAGAATTACAGATGATATTTTATATTCCCAAGATTTTAAAATAAGGAACATGGATTATTTTCATAATCAGAAAAGTGACCACCCAAATAATGCCACATACAGAGAGCTCATGAACAAGGCCATCTTGGGGAACAGGCCCTTTTAAATTACTGGCATTTATGGAGCGCCTGGGTGGCTCAGTTGGTTAAGTGTCCAACTCTTGATTTCGGCTCAGGTCATGATCTCAGGGACGTGAGATGGAGCCCCGCATCAGGCTCTGTGCCAGGTGTGGAGCCTGCTTAGGATTCTCTCTCTCCCCTCTCTCCCTCTCCCTCTTCCTCCCCCTTGGCTCACATGTGCTTGCTCTCTCTCTCTCCCAAAGAAAAAAAATAAATTACTGGCATTTATGGAAGAGTCTCACTTACAGGACATCTGCCAACATCAATCTCCAGGCCTTTTCAGTAAATATTACTAGGGTACCCCAAATTTCTGAGCCCCAAATCAAGACCCCCAAACTGGCTCTGCTCTGGTCATCTTAGATACATCTGTGGTCTGTGAGTAGGCTGAGTCCTGTCAGATCCCAAGGCATCTTAATGAATGAATGAAAACGGAAGATCCATTTCAGTTCCACAGTTTCATGGGATGGGTATATGTTGTTCTAGTCTGGCTCTCTGAACACTTGTTATCCACATACATACTCTTTACTGAGACTACTTACTTAGACTATGTAATTTCCTGATCTAACCAGATACAAAAGATTTTATTATGCCATGCGAGATACTTAAAAAGGAGTTGTAGAGTCTTACTGATAAGAATTGACAGGGAGATCCCAGATTAGAGGGCAGATGTCACTTCAATCCTACTTTACTATGGCCTTGCTCAAATGCCACCTCGTAAAGCCTTCCCTGGTCTCTCTCTTGTCCCTTCTCCCAGCGATACTCTGGCGCAGCTGCCTCACAGAATGGGTCCCCTGTATTGTAACAGCTCATGTACAAGCTGTTGCCTGCTTCGGCCTGGGCGTGTTTGAGTCAGGACAGGACTGTGGAGTCAGGCAGGCTGGGAATCTGGAGTCTACCACCTGCCAGCAAAAGGACCCTGGAGGACTGGCTCTCGGTTCATCTCTTCTTCCCCAGCCCTGGGACTGGCAGGGAGAAGATGGGCAGGGAATGCTATTTGAACAAATAAAGGAATGCATGATTGGCTATGCGAGGCCCCTCTGCTGCTCTGTTGGGAAAGGGAGACCATGATTCATTCAAACACTATCTCCTGCAGGACTTGACAGAGGCTTGACACACAGTAGGTACATGATATATATCTGCTGAATGCACGAATACAGAAACAACTGCTTTCACTAAATGATCCTTCACCAATCTCCGTAGGCATCTCCCCAGAGCTTTGGTCTCCCAAGACAGAAAGAGCCTTTGCATACAGGCAGACAATTGTAATTATTATTGAAGGTGGCCTGTAATACATAATTAAATTGAGCTTGAAGAAGATACAATGAAAAGCCTCATGCCTTCAAGATCTGGTTTTCATTTTATATGAGATGGCCGAAAAACAGTAATTTCCACTCCTCACATTTTCCATTAGAGGGACTGAATGTCTTAATTAAATGAACATCAAATAGAACAGCCAATTTATAGAATTTTCTTGTCTCTTATTCATTCATTTCAGTGCCTTCTAGAGCTTGGGAAACGCCACCAGATCTCTCTGTGGCCTGATCCATACCTGTGATTACTCCATCGGAACACTGCTGCTTCTTCCTCTGCGGGGAGGAACTGGGGCTGCCCATCCTGTGGGCCCTGGACACCTGTGCCCCCTGCCCCCTCTGTGGAGCCCTTTCTGTTCCTGCTGAGAGAAAGAAGCCTGGTGCCACCCAACGAGGTGGAACAGTTCGCAGCACTCTCTGGATTCCAAGTGGCGGCCTCAAGCCCTGGCCCTCTGATTGGGTGACTTCTGGACAATGGCTTACTTGTGTCTGTTTTGGCTTGACTTGAAGTACTGGCAAATTTCTTTCTTTCTAACCAAGAGGAAGGAACATGTTGATATGGCAAAGTCTTTGGAGCCAGACGTTCTGGGCTTTGACTACAGGCTCTACCCTTGCCAACACAGCAACCCTAGGAGGGATGGGTACCCAGTTCTGCTTTCCCATGACCATCAACCCCATCACATCACAAATGATATGATTTTAGGCAGGTCGTATACCATAACCTCTGGGAGCCTCTGTTTTCTTCTCTATAAAATGAAGATTGTGACACCTATCTTAGATACTGTGAAGTTCAAACAAGGTAACCTATTTAAAGTGAAATGCAATTTTTTTTTTTTTTTAACCAGGGCCTGCAGGACCCCATGAGACTGCTTTCCCTAGAATGTCAACTCCCTGATAGAAGGGCCTTTGGTCACTGGTGTATCCCAGAACTTAGAAGAGTGCCTGGCATATAGTAGATGCTCAGTAATGTGAATGAATGTTGGCCGAAGGACCTGCTCCTTCCTGCCTCTCTTTCCAATTTCACTTTGAACCCGACCCCTCCATCCTTCCTGTGTTCCACTACATCTGCTTCTGTTCTCCAAACACACCAAGCTCAAGCCAGGCTCGGGGTGCTCACACTTAACTGTTCTTTTTGCTGAGAATGCTCTCCCCTCCAATCCTGGTGTAGCTAGCTCCTTTCCTTACTCATATTTCAGCTCAAACGTTATCACTTCAGTGAGGCCTTCCCTGAAATAGATAGGTCCTCCCATCTTGGTCACATTATCTTTTTGTCTTCATTATATGTATTATCTTATTTACATGTTTATTGATCTGTTATCTGTCTCTTCCTACTATA